TACTGTATAAGTCAATCTATCTGCGGTCAAAATATTCTATTTTCTACCTATGGATATCGATAAGCCTTTGTATAACAATGGGAAGAAAAATCACAATCAATTTACAGCTAAGATTATATTAAAAGGCCCAAGTTAATGATTTGCCTGTCACAACACGTTTGAAAAAAAAAAAGGTGATTGTTATCGATTTTTTTTTTTAACGATAAAAAGGCTGTCTATGTGTCTTACTCTATAGTGATTCGTATATGTTAAGAACAGTAAGCATAATAAAGATGAAGATTTTACTTTATCGGGTTATTAAGAAAACGTCTACAAAAGCCTTGCATAGTACAATGTACGGTACATAATGAAATCAACTTGTTTGAAACTTGTGAGACATATAACATCTGTACCAACATTTAAGCTTAATAACTCACGCCCACTTACCGGAAATTGAAAAACTTGATAGTTTTATTGGGTCAGGAAGAGATGAGACATTAATAGTCCTCTGACCACTACTTGATTGCTTGCACTTATCACATTGGCAACAAAGCCGCAGCCAACAACTGTGAAACCTTAAATAACTTAATGAACAAAAGAATCAGAACGATTTTAAAAGAAATGTACACATTTAATTTTAATCATATAGTATATTAACCAAAAAAAGGGAAATGACTTGTGTAGTTTTCTCAATCTACTGTTAGTTGTTACAGCACGATTAACGTAGTAGCTATTTGAGAACGGAGGTGTTGAAAGTTGTAATCGTGTAAATGTATGTACAGCTGTACGTATAACAATTTTTTTTCTGTGAAATCGATAGTCATCAATTGACTGTTTAGAATTGACCGTTGGCTGTTGCCAGTGGATCGTTTTAAGCCTTCCACTGGAAGTCACAGAATCATGGGAGGAGGTGCAAGCGATCCCACAAACAAGCACACCCACACTGACAACGCCTTGTCCTTGTTCTATCATATTCAACTCGTTTTGGTGACAAATCCAGATCACAAAATATTCCTAGTCATAGCCCTATAGAAGGAACTCTAGGTAGATTACCACCTTGTGTAAGCAACCGGGACCACTTTTCAGGGCGAACGTTTTATAATAATACACCTTTTTAGCTTGGAAGGTTTGTTTCCCACCTCAGTTAACGTGGCGTTCCCAAGGGAATTTGCCTTTGTCGTTTCGTAAATTGTGCATACATCATATACACATGGATGCACGTGTATGACCATGTATAGGACAAAATTTGAAAGAAAAGTTCTTTGCGGTCTGAAATGGTAAAACAAATTGAGACATACAAGCTAAAAAGGTCTATTTCCATTTTTTGGTTTAAGCCTCTTGTACGCGACGGTTTGAAACGTGGTGTCCATCGCATGAACTACGCTACTCAGCAGACTCAGAGTATACCAAGGACTTTCTTAGACATTACATGACAACACATATCTTAACTTAAAAATTGCATTCTCTTTTCCTAAAAAACAGATGTGTCGGAACCCATGAAAGACCCCTGCTCCCTATGATTTTTTCCTCGTACCTTCTCGCATTATCAGCACTTGGTCTCTAATGCGGGAAGTTCGAAATAATGGTAAACTAAATTAGCCCATTTCTAACGTATTCATACTTGGATGTGTGTCCGTCCTTCCAATCTATTTGTAAGCAGTTTCCAGATACCAGTGGCTTGACATCTGTCACACTGTAGGTTGACTGCAAACCACAACACAGATACTTCAAAAATTCGTGCTACAACTAATCCAATGATCGTTTTGTTTTGTACAGAACTGTTTTCTTCATCATATTTTCTGCCACTTGTGTTAGTATTTCAAATACAGGCTCAGGGGCGGATCTAGGGGGAGGGTGCAGGGGGTGCACCCCCCCCCCCCCCGAGATGACCTGCGGTTTTCTAATACAACTGGTATTCTGCAAAAAAAACTATGTGGTTTCTTGGAGTTGAAGTAGAGCAAGACACGAGTGCACCCTCTCCTAAAAAAAATCCTGGATCCGCCCCTGGGGCTTAACTTCAGGTACGCGATATCTTCCATGAACGTTTGCAGGCCATGTTTTATGGCCTTATTATAACAGTTTTTACTTGAGACGTCCCCTTTTGCATATAACTTATATTAAGTGTAGTTTTAACTCGTGGACATGTATATCTAGACATGCGGTATTTCTAAGTAAGTCACCTAGAGTGAGCTATTCAATTAAAAAGAAAAAGGCTACAAACTGGCTAAAACAGACACAAACTAACCTGAGCTCTTCTTCGGAGAAAAGAACTGAAGGATTTAGTTACAGACGTTCTACTGTAAAGGACGCTTCTCAGCATGACGCGAACTCGAACTCCAACTGACCTTGTTTGAGTTTTAGAAGTTAAAATAACTCTTCAATCTGCAGAGAGGTGCCTCTAGAATTAAAAACATCTTTAACTCGGGTTTTACTAAACAGAGTAACGAGGTAACGAGTAACGAGTAACGGGATAAAAATACAAGAGGTTAAAAAAATAATTAAATAAATCCTAATGAAAGAAAAAACGTAAAAATGGTTGTAATATCTTAATAATGATCTTTACCAATCTCGAAAAATATGTGTATTCCAAAAAGTGCTTAAAACAACGACGTCAACCCCCCAACCCTCCCTCCAGCAAAGTCGAAGGTATTTTCCCGCCGAAAAAGTCACCTGTCCCTATCCCTGAAAACAATAGGTAGTGCAGGTTACACGAACCAATGAAATAAGAGGTTTGGATAGGTGTAGGTCGAATGGTTATTTTCTCACACCCACGAGGAGACCAAGGAGCAACAACCATGCATGGAGGAAGGTGAAGTACAGATTTTCTTTCTGATTGTCACAATTATTTCATTTCTTAGAAGAAAAAGTTCTGTCATGTAAATCAAAATGATAGAACGTTGTTGGGCCCTTATTACGGTTACCAACTAACCAATTAAAAGCACTCGATTGCCAAGGCTTAGAAACAGTATGCTCGTTTATTACTCATTGGGTTATTACCTTTCCTGCTCAACTTTCAATGTCTAGCTAATGTCTAGTCTTTTAACTCCTCTTGAAAATACGGGATTCGACTTAATACTACCTTCCAAAAGTTAATTATAGTGAACTTTTTTACCGGTTTAAAAGGAATTATAAATCATGTTTAAAAATACCCCCCGACGTAGAGACTCTGAAATTTGAATGTTGACGGCAAAATAGAGTGCAGAGCGAGACTAGTTTTGAGGTCTATTTTCAATTAAAGTAAAGTAAAGAAACATTCAAATGGATTGGTTTGCTCGAAGTTACGTTTAACATCAATCAATGCAGAACAACCGAAACATTGTTACTGCCAGGGCATTAAATTAACTTGCCCAAGTTAATGATTTGCCTGTCACAACACGTTTGAAAAAAAAAAAGGTGATTGTTATCGATTTTTTTTTTTAACGATAAAAAGGCTGTCTATGTGTCTTACTCTATAGTGATTCGTATATGTTAAGAACAGTAAGCATAATAAAGATGAAGATTTTACTTTATCGGGTTATTAAGAAAACGTCTACAAAAGCCTTGCATAGTACAATGTACGGTACATAATGAAATCAACTTGTTTGAAACTTGTGAGACATATAACATCTGTACCAACATTTAAGCTTAATAACTCACGCCCACTTACCGGAAATTGAAAAACTTGATAGTTTTATTGGGTCAGGAAGAGATGAGACATTAATAGTCCTCTGACCACTACTTGATTGCTTGCACTTATCACATTGGCAACAAAGCCGCAGCCAACAACTGTGAAACCTTAAATAACTTAATGAACAAAAGAATCAGAACGATTTTAAAAGAAATGTACACATTTAATTTTAATCATATAGTATATTAACCAAAAAAAGGGAAATGACTTGTGTAGTTTTCTCAATCTACTGTTAGTTGTTACAGCACGATTAACGTAGTAGCTATTTGAGAACGGAGGTGTTGAAAGTTGTAATCGTGTAAATGTATGTACAGCTGTACGTATAACAATTTTTTTTCTGTGAAATCGATAGTCATCAATTGACTGTTTAGAATTGACCGTTGGCTGTTGCCAGTGGATCGTTTTAAGCCTTCCACTGGAAGTCACAGAATCATGGGAGGAGGTGCAAGCGATCCCACAAACAAGCACACCCACACTGACAACGCCTTGTCCTTGTTCTATCATATTCAACTCGTTTTGGTGACAAATCCAGATCACAAAATATTCCTAGTCATAGCCCTATAGAAGGAACTCTAGGTAGATTACCACCTTGTGTAAGCAACCGGGACCACTTTTCAGGGCGAACGTTTTATAATAATACACCTTTTTAGCTTGGAAGGTTTGTTTCCCACCTCAGTTAACGTGGCGTTCCCAAGGGAATTTGCCTTTGTCGTTTCGTAAATTGTGCATACATCATATACACATGGATGCACGTGTATGACCATGTATAGGACAAAATTTGAAAGAAAAGTTCTTTGCGGTCTGAAATGGTAAAACAAATTGAGACATACAAGCTAAAAAGGTCTATTTCCATTTTTTGGTTTAAGCCTCTTGTACGCGACGGTTTGAAACGTGGTGTCCATCGCATGAACTACAAGCTTACCTGCATCGATGTTAAGTTTATCTTCGATAGTTTACGTTTAGGTTTGTCCAGCTCCGCAAATATTCTCCAAATAGCAGATGTCGCCCTCCGAGTTGTCTTCTTGCTGTTTTTGCTATGTTTTAGCCATTATTTCGCCTAGTTCCAGCTGTAGTTCTTACTTTTGAAACGAGTGAACTGTCCGCCATTTTAGTTTTTCAACGAAAACAACTCAATCTCGTCCCCAGGTCTTCTCGTTTAACGGTGCATTAACCTGTAGAAGGCTGCATTTTTGACGTCATTTCCTCGTTAAACACAAAATTCTTCCAAATTTGGTCATCAGTAACTGGTTATGGTGCATTATGCGTGTGCTTTTAGCCAATAAGAATTGGGGAAATATTTTGAATGAATAATAAAATCATATATTGGGTCCTTGATACACACAAAAGAGAAAACTTACTTCCAGAGACCTTCCTTAGTTTCCATCATTTCACTATACTTCACCTCTGGAAGGTTGTGCTGTTAAATAGTGATTAAAACAGAAATCTGTTGGAGTCAACATCTTTCATTTTCAGTAGACATTTTGACAGTATGAACACAGTTTTATGCCGATACATATTGACTTATCATGTGTTATAACTAAACGTTGAAGTAAAGAGGTTTTGATAATTGAAACTTAACAAATGTATTATTGTGAAAGTATAATTTAATAATTAGTGTATCTTTCACTCTTTTTATAAGTTTCATACATCTCTTCGTAGTAAATCAGTACTTTTTCACCTGTTCTAAGCTTCTTTGTCTGATTGTTGTCATGAGAGCTCAATACCTGTCCTAAGTGTGGCTGTGTCCTTCTGATTTCACTTTGTATCTTCCTTGCTGGTTCAGAGTAACAATTTTCTCTTAGCCATTTTAAGTTAAGCACTCCTTGATGATCATTTTCAAAGTCCCAAGCCAAAAGGAGGTTTTGCTTATTTTCTGAAAAAAAAAAATAGAATAAATTAGTAAGCTATTTTATGACCTTGAGTATTGTTCTGATCCCAAGAATTGAACTTGTGACATCCCACTCTGCAGGCCGGTGCTCTACTGTATAAGTCAATCTATCTGCGGTCAAAATATTCTATTTTCTACCTATGGATATCGATAAGCCTTTGTATAACAATGGGAAGAAAAATCACAATCAATTTACAGCTAAGATTATATTAAAAGGCCCAAGTTAATGATTTGCCTGTCACAACACGTTTGAAAAAAAAAAAGGTGATTGTTATCGATTTTTTTTTTTAACGATAAAAAGGCTGTCTATGTGTCTTACTCTATAGTGATTCGTATATGTTAAGAACAGTAAGCATAATAAAGATGAAGATTTTACTTTATCGGGTTATTAAGAAAACGTCTACAAAAGCCTTGCATAGTACAATGTACGGTACATAATGAAATCAACTTGTTTGAAACTTGTGAGACATATAACATCTGTACCAACATTTAAGCTTAATAACTCACGCCCACTTACCGGAAATTGAAAAACTTGATAGTTTTATTGGGTCAGGAAGAGATGAGACATTAATAGTCCTCTGACCACTACTTGATTGCTTGCACTTATCACATTGGCAACAAAGCCGCAGCCAACAACTGTGAAACCTTAAATAACTTAATGAACAAAAGAATCAGAACGATTTTAAAAGAAATGTACACATTTAATTTTAATCATATAGTATATTAACCAAAAAAAGGGAAATGACTTGTGTAGTTTTCTCAATCTACTGTTAGTTGTTACAGCACGATTAACGTAGTAGCTATTTGAGAACGGAGGTGTTGAAAGTTGTAATCGTGTAAATGTATGTACAGCTGTACGTATAACAATTTTTTTTCTGTGAAATCGATAGTCATCAATTGACTGTTTAGAATTGACCGTTGGCTGTTGCCAGTGGATCGTTTTAAGCCTTCCACTGGAAGTCACAGAATCATGGGAGGAGGTGCAAGCGATCCCACAAACAAGCACACCCACACTGACAACGCCTTGTCCTTGTTCTATCATATTCAACTCGTTTTGGTGACAAATCCAGATCACAAAATATTCCTAGTCATAGCCCTATAGAAGGAACTCTAGGTAGATTACCACCTTGTGTAAGCAACCGGGACCACTTTTCAGGGCGAACGTTTTATAATAATACACCTTTTTAGCTTGGAAGGTTTGTTTCCCACCTCAGTTAACGTGGCGTTCCCAAGGGAATTTGCCTTTGTCGTTTCGTAAATTGTGCATACATCATATACACATGGATGCACGTGTATGACCATGTATAGGACAAAATTTGAAAGAAAAGTTCTTTGCGGTCTGAAATGGTAAAACAAATTGAGACATACAAGCTAAAAAGGTCTATTTCCATTTTTTGGTTTAAGCCTCTTGTACGCGACGGTTTGAAACGTGGTGTCCATCGCATGAACTACGCTACTCAGCAGACTCAGAGTATACCAAGGACTTTCTTAGACATTACATGACAACACATATCTTAACTTAAAAATTGCATTCTCTTTTCCTAAAAAACAGATGTGTCGGAACCCATGAAAGACCCCTGCTCCCTATGATTTTTTCCTCGTACCTTCTCGCATTATCAGCACTTGGTCTCTAATGCGGGAAGTTCGAAATAATGGTAAACTAAATTAGCCCATTTCTAACGTATTCATACTTGGATGTGTGTCCGTCCTTCCAATCTATTTGTAAGCAGTTTCCAGATACCAGTGGCTTGACATCTGTCACACTGTAGGTTGACTGCAAACCACAACACAGATACTTCAAAAATTCGTGCTACAACTAATCCAATGATCGTTTTGTTTTGTACAGAACTGTTTTCTTCATCATATTTTCTGCCACTTGTGTTAGTATTTCAAATACAGGCTCAGGGGCGGATCTAGGGGGAGGGTGCAGGGGGTGCACCCCCCCCCCCCCCGAGATGACCTGCGGTTTTCTAATACAACTGGTATTCTGCAAAAAAAACTATGTGGTTTCTTGGAGTTGAAGTAGAGCAAGACACGAGTGCACCCTCTCCTAAAAAAAATCCTGGATCCGCCCCTGGGGCTTAACTTCAGGTACGCGATATCTTCCATGAACGTTTGCAGGCCATGTTTTATGGCCTTATTATAACAGTTTTTACTTGAGACGTCCCCTTTTGCATATAACTTATATTAAGTGTAGTTTTAACTCGTGGACATGTATATCTAGACATGCGGTATTTCTAAGTAAGTCACCTAGAGTGAGCTATTCAATTAAAAAGAAAAAGGCTACAAACTGGCTAAAACAGACACAAACTAACCTGAGCTCTTCTTCGGAGAAAAGAACTGAAGGATTTAGTTACAGACGTTCTACTGTAAAGGACGCTTCTCAGCATGACGCGAACTCGAACTCCAACTGACCTTGTTTGAGTTTTAGAAGTTAAAATAACTCTTCAATCTGCAGAGAGGTGCCTCTAGAATTAAAAACATCTTTAACTCGGGTTTTACTAAACAGAGTAACGAGGTAACGAGTAACGAGTAACGGGATAAAAATACAAGAGGTTAAAAAAATAATTAAATAAATCCTAATGAAAGAAAAAACGTAAAAATGGTTGTAATATCTTAATAATGATCTTTACCAATCTCGAAAAATATGTGTATTCCAAAAAGTGCTTAAAACAACGACGTCAACCCCCCAACCCTCCCTCCAGCAAAGTCGAAGGTATTTTCCCGCCGAAAAAGTCACCTGTCCCTATCCCTGAAAACAATAGGTAGTGCAGGTTACACGAACCAATGAAATAAGAGGTTTGGATAGGTGTAGGTCGAATGGTTATTTTCTCACACCCACGAGGAGACCAAGGAGCAACAACCATGCATGGAGGAAGGTGAAGTACAGATTTTCTTTCTGATTGTCACAATTATTTCATTTCTTAGAAGAAAAAGTTCTGTCATGTAAATCAAAATGATAGAACGTTGTTGGGCCCTTATTACGGTTACCAACTAACCAATTAAAAGCACTCGATTGCCAAGGCTTAGAAACAGTATGCTCGTTTATTACTCATTGGGTTATTACCTTTCCTGCTCAACTTTCAATGTCTAGCTAATGTCTAGTCTTTTAACTCCTCTTGAAAATACGGGATTCGACTTAATACTACCTTCCAAAAGTTAATTATAGTGAACTTTTTTACCGGTTTAAAAGGAATTATAAATCATGTTTAAAAATACCCCCCGACGTAGAGACTCTGAAATTTGAATGTTGACGGCAAAATAGAGTGCAGAGCGAGACTAGTTTTGAGGTCTATTTTCAATTAAAGTAAAGTAAAGAAACATTCAAATGGATTGGTTTGCTCGAAGTTACGTTTAACATCAATCAATGCAGAACAACCGAAACATTGTTACTGCCAGGGCATTAAATTAACTCGTTTTCGTAGGATCCACTTGGCTACTTAACATTTCAAAGTGGCAGCCAATTCCATAAGTTGAATAAGTCCTGAGTCCCCAGAAAAAAAAAAAACGAAACAAACAAGGAGAAAACGGCCGGTTTACTAGATGTCATTTTAGAGCTGAGATCCTCCAAATTGACAAGTTTTGACCCCACGTGATTCCAGCAGGTAATCAAAGTAAGCAAAGAGGACCTGTTACTACAGCAGTGCTGTAGTAAGGAGTTTTCAGTATTTATGGTCAGCGGTTGGTACCATTTTGCTTAGGACTCACTCGTGCTAGTTGCCATGTTCTTGTTTATCACATGTGTGATTTAGGTTTACAATCCATGTAATCCTTCGCTCAGCCGTATCGTGTAAGGCAGATACCAAGTGGTGTAAGCCTTTGTAGAAAGTTAGTTCTGGTTGCCTTTGGTTTGGATTCAGTACTCGTCATGTCTCGAGAGTTGAGTGATATTCCTGAGGCTTCAATGTCGGATGTTTGTGGTGAGGTGGTAAGTTCCGCTTCAAATAATTGTTTGGATGATGTTTGCGAGAAGTCTTCGCCTTTAATTGTTGATCTATCGAAGAATGCCGAAAACAAAGGATTTTTCCATGTGGAAAATGAACAGCATTTGTCTGAAGTTCGTATCAGGAAGCTAACCGAAAAGGGTCAATCCTATCAAAACGATATAAAGTTGAACTCTTTCAAGAATAAAAGGTCAAGTTTTACGGGAACGCTGAGAAAAACACTGTTGCTTCGGGGACATTGTAATGAATTATCAAAGTGGAAGCAAGAGCTTAGTAAGGCACAGGTTCTGTGGAATGAATTTGTGGATGCATATAATGACCTTTTGAAACAGTTCAAGACGATGAGTTAGCAAAGGTCAGGAACATCTGGGAGCAAGTTTGTGGTGAGTGGTCTGATTTTGAAAGGAATGTGAGGGATGAGATAAAGTATTTGGAACAAACAGTTTTGGAGTCTAATTCTGTCATTTCTAAGGGTTCAAAGAGGAGTAAAACAACCAAAAGTGTCAAGTCAAAATCAAGTTCAGACAGTGTACTTTCAACCAAAGTAGATAAATATCAGCTTCTACAGGAAGAAGCTGCTTTGAAGGTGAAGCTAGCCTATGTGGAACAAGAAAAGGCCTTAGAAATAGAAAGGTTAAAACAGGAGCAGAAACTGGAAGAATTCAAACTTAAGAGGGAACTTGAACTTAGTAGAGCCAAGTTAAGTGTATGCAAAGAGATTGATAATGAGCAAACACCCTCCCTTGAAGAAGATCTAGTCAATCTTCCTAGTGAGAGTAAAGGCGAAGGAGTGAAAAGATTCTTGCAATCTCTAACAGTAACTACCCGTGCAAATGAGACTAATACATCAGTTCAGTCCCAAGTACATGTATCCCAAACACCTGTTTTGACAACAACATCCACACCAAAGACTACAACATGTGGTCTGCGGGCTTCTGCTCCATCATTCTCCCCGGGAGCCGTAACACAGTCAGTATTTGCTGTTCGTCATTTTGAACCTGAACTTGGTCTTCCCATTCAAACAGAAGCAGCTTGTACACAAGCTTTCTCGTCGGCAAAAACTGATCCTGTTGTAACTAACTCCATAAGTGGTCCATCACCAATTATGTCAACAGTTATGAATTCCCCTTCAAGTTACCAGTTTGTTCATCCTCAAGGTCAAGTTAACTCCTTCTGTGAAGGGTGGGAAAAGGTTGCTTCATCATTAGAAAGGTGTATGGACAAGTTAACAGAAGCTAACTTAGAACAAAGTACTGTGAGCAAAGAACTGTTTGTTTCTGGACAACTTCCAAAACTGACCATTCCAGTATTTGAAGGAGACCCCCTGCAATATCCTGTGTGGAAGAGTGCCTTTAATGCTCTAGTTGACTCTAGACCACTGGCAGCAGACATCAAGCTGAATATGTTGAATCAGTATGTAACTGGAAAGCCAAAGCAAGTTGTGGAACATTATCTTCTGATTGGGACAGAAGATGCTTATCAGAAAGCTAGGTCTGTATTGCAGGAAAGGTATGGAAACTGTAATGTTGTGAGTACAGCATTTATTAACAAGTTGGAGAAGTGGCCTAAGATAGGACCCAAGGATGCCAGTGCCTTAAGGGAGTTCTCAGACATGTTAGACAAGGTATTAGCAGCAAAGAACACCATTCCAGGTCTTTCTGTACTGGACTATGCAAAGGAGAATGTAAAGTTACTATCAAAGTTACCCTACTACCTTGAAACCAAGTGGAGAGATGCAATTAAACAATGGAGACATACCCATGGTGAAGCCAGTTACCCTACCTTTGTTAAGTTTGCAGATTTCATCAGAGAAGCCGCAGAAAAGGCAAATATCCCAGAGTTAGAAGGCCTCGCCACATCAAGTAGTCCAAGATTTAACAGAAATCCGAAGCTGAAACCAGATAATGAGAAGGGTAGTTCTCTTTCTACATCAGCTAAGGGTGGTGGTAACAGTAAATCAGACCCCACTAATTCTAGTAAATCAAAGGACCCTGGTCCAAATGGTTTGACGAAGTGTCTGTTTTGTGGTGCAAAACACAAGTTAGATGACTGCGCTGATTTCTGTAGAAAGCCTTTCAGTGAAAGGAGAGACTTCTTCTTCCGCGAACGTTTGTGTATGGGTTGTGCAGCCAGTAAGAATCATCAGGTAGCGAACTGCAAGGAGAGGTTGAAATGCAAAATGAAAACATGCTCAGGAACACATCCCACATGCCTTCACAAGGAACTAACACAAGACAATGCTGCCATCTCAAATTGTATGAGTGTATGTCTAATTCCTGAACAAAGCGGTGGATTTGATCACACCATGATAGTACCAGTGTGGGTCAGACCAGTGGGAGAGCCAGAGAAGGAAATCTTGCAGTATGCAGTCCTCGACGATCATTCAAATGTCAGTTTTGTGTCTGAGACTCTTTGTGAACGGTTTAACCTGCAAGGCCCATCAACCGAGCTTCTGTTGACAACAATGCAGCAGCAAAATGCCCGTGTTAAAACTAAAAAGATATCTGGGCTAGAGATTCTTGACTACCATAGAGAATGTGTAGTGAAGATGCCAGTGGCCTTCACCCGGGAACTTGTTTCAGCTAACCGGTCGCAGATTCCAAAACCTGAAGTGGCTAGGGAATGGCAACATCTGAAGCCCATCGCCGATAAGTTGACACCGTACCACCCAGATGCAGAAATTTCTATCCTGATTGGAAACAATTGCCCAAGAGCTATCCGACCCAGGGAAATAGTTGCCGGTGAAGATGACGAGCCGTACGCTCAGAGGACTATACTTGGTTGGGGAGTTATTGGAAGAGTCTGCAAGTCTAATGATGTTGAAAACACA